AAAAAAAAAAAAATAACACAAAAATAAAAAAAATAAAATTATGTACCTCTGTATTCTACAGAAGCAAGTCACATTGTAGAAATGGATTATTAACAGAAGACAAATAACAACAGAATACATATATATGCACATCTATTTATTTATTTTCTTCTTGTAATGCTATCAAGCTTGAATTGATATCTTACTCAATGAGGATTACAACATATATATACAAGCTAAAGGAGATGTAAGAAAGGAAAGAAATCAAAAACACCTAATCTAAGGATTCACCATATCACCTAATTGATACAATATAATTTATACCATATTTAAGATAACACTCCCCCTCAAGCTGGAGTATATATATCGATTATGCCCAGCTTGTTACAAATGTTTTTCATTCTTACACCATTCACTGCTTTTGTAAATATGTCCCCTAGTTGATCCTCAGACTTGATATATCTTGTAGTGACGAAACCTTCTTCGACCTTATCACGAACAAAGTGGCAATCTATCTCGATGTGTTTGGTTCGTTCATGAAATACAGGATTTGATGCAATGTGGCTTGCTGCTTGGTTGTCACACCAAAGTGTTGCTGGGAGAGCAAATTCTAATCCAAGCTCCTTAAGTAACTGATGTATCCATACAACCTCACATACTGAATCAGCCATCGACCTATACTCTGCTTCGGCAACTGAACGAGACACAACATGTTGCTTCTTGCTTCTCCACAAAACTAGTTTGCCTCCCACAAATATAAAGTACCCAGAAGTCGATCTTCTATCATCTTTGCAACCTGCATAGTCGGCATCACAATATGCTTCTACTGCCCCAGCCTTTTGATAACTTTGTCAGAACAATCCCCGTCCAGGAGCCCCCTTCAAGTAGCATAAAATTTGTTCAAGAAGTGCCCAATGACTAACGGTCGGAGAAGACATAAATCGACTTGCTACACCAACTGCAAAGGATATGTCGGGGCGTGTTACGGTGAGATAGTTTAGCTTTCCTACAAGTCTTCGATATCGTTCTGGATCATGAAATGGCTCACCATCATCCTTTCCTAACTGCATGTTTGGTGTCATCGGAGTGCTGCATGGTTTTGCCCCAACTTTTCCAGTTTCTTTAAAAAGATCGAGCACATACTTCCTCTGACAAAGGAAAATCCCTCTCTTACTTCTCATTATCTCTACTCCCAGAAAGTATTTCAAGTGTCCCAAGTCCTTTGTTTGGAAATTCTCATGGAGGAATGATTTTAGGTTTGAAATTCCATCATCATCATTCCCTGTAATAACAATATCATCGACGTACACAACCAATAAAATGATCCCAAGACTTGATCGCCTATAGAATACCGAGTGATTGGATTTACGTCTCACCAACCCATATTTCAAAACAATCTGGCTAAATCTGTCGAACCAAGCTCGGGGACTTTGCTTTAACCCATATAAAGACTTACGAAGACGACATACCTTCCCATACTCCCCCTGAGAAACAAAACCAGGTGGTTGCTCCATATAAACCTCTTCCTGAAGAAAGCCATGGAGAAACGCATTATTCATGTCAAGTTGGTGCAGAGGCCAGTCGGAAGAGGCAGCAAGAGAGATGAGCAACCAGACAGAGGTAAGTTTAGCCACACGAGAGAAAGTTTCAGAGTAATCGGTGCCATAAGTCTGAGCATAACCTTTAGCTACAAGCCGAGCTTTAAGACATGCCAAAGAGCCATCAGGATTAACTTTAACAGTAAAGACCCACTTACATCCAATTGCCTTTTTGCCAACAGGTAAGTCCACTAAAGACCATGTGCCATTATGATCAAGGGCATTCATTTCCTCAATCATAGCAGCACGCCATCCAGGATGGGCCAAAGCAGTGCCAACACATGTAGGAATAGAAATAGTCTAGCTGGGCAATAAAAGAACAGGAGAAAGCAGCAGACAGGTTGTCATAAGACACAACAGAAGCAATAGGGTAAGTACAAGATCTTTTACCTTTTCGAAGAACAACTGGAAGGTCATTAGGGTTATTTGGTTCGGGGACAGGGTCTTCCACCGGAGCAGCAGGCAAAGGGCGTGAATCAGAATCTATGATGACCTCGCGATGTGATTGAGAGC